AAATGATTTTGCATCTCGCTAACAAAAGGAAATAGTGTTGAGAAACTTACCAGCAAGCCCTCTTTCAAAGCAAGAAGCTTCGCAGTCTCTATGGCCTCATCACTTGAGACCTAGAAGAAACATTCAAGACATATTATCAGCACTTAATCGAGAATTTAGTATAGGTTGCATAAATTTTTATTTACACGTTAAACAAATCTGAGGTAGCATCTGAGCCTTACTTGAAGAACCTCGTCTATGAGATGAACGTCCAAAACACCTGGAATGAAACCAGCTCCTATTCCTTGGATTTTGTGAGGACCTTCAACAGTCAAGATGAACATAAAAAAATGAGGAACACGAACATTTGATGCACGGATTGTAAGATTGATAAATTTTCCTGGAGGCAGGCCAATAATGAACTAATTTTGTGTATAAGTTTAAAACAAGTTTATATTAGTTTACTATATACAATTCGTGCCCAGGCCTATTCATCACTAGTAATGATGGAGGCGAGCTCACAAATTAACAATCACTTCCAGTATTTAACTAAGTACATGTATAATCAACAAGAATCGGGACTAATACATAATATGACTAGATCTTGTGGTAAAAATTGTACGAACCCAAATAACAGGCAATATGTAAGTATAAGCCAACATGAGATGTCAACTACAATGTCTACACAAAATATCCAGACGAGAGTAAGAACTTACCAGGCTTCCCACCAGAAAGAACGGGACTTTCAACTGGTTCCACACCATATAGCTAAAAACACAAATAAACAAGGTAACTGAGCAGCTAGCTAGTATAAAAATGGAAATCAACCGGCATAACTATTATTTTCCTGTAAAAAGAAAAGCAAAGAAAAGAAAAGAAAAAGATATGAAATGGAACAAAGAGAGAAGAAAAAAGGAGGCAACCTTTATGTCAGGGTTTTGTTCCTTAAGAAACTTCCCAGCACCAGTTATCGTGCCTCCAGTACCAATTCCAGAAACAAATGCATCAATTTTCCCATCCGTCCCTTTCCAGATCTCAGGGCCCGTAGTTTCATAGTGTATCTAAACAAAACCAAGTGCCATTAAGTTCCTTCCCAATCAGCAATAACATCACATGATGTAAAGGCATAGTAGTTATGAAACTACCCTTGGTTTCGCCAACAATAACAAAAAATGAAAAAAGAATAAAGAAAATAAGTCAATCTAAATTGGAAATTACAAAAAACAGCCATTGAGAATTGAGATTGCATTTATCTAAAAAATTTCACCTGACTATTGATGCTAACGGAAATGGTAGGCATCATTGAACAATGTCAATCCCCAACTGTACTATATAACGCATACAATACAAATAGCTTGATAATAAATTGGATGTTTTCAAAAAACTGAGAAAGCTTAAAGGTTCTAATTGTTGATAATAATAATAATAATAATAATAATAATAATAATAATAATAATAATAATAATAATAATAATAAATCAATGAATCCAAAAGCATGGTGTACTCCAAACCTTGAGGTGCGTAAGTTTTGCAATTATATAAGAAAATAGAAGTATAAAGTCTATTAGAGTTACCTCTGAATTGGTTTATCTGTGATTTTCTGTACATACACCAAATCTTGAGGTATGTTTTGCAATTATATAACAAAATAGAAGCATAAAATCTATTAGAATTACCTTTGGATTGGCAGGGTTCTCAAATTGTTGGAGGATGTAAGAATTTGGTGTCTTATCACGAATCTCCTCAGCCTTCTGAACAGCACCTTTCATTCCCTTAGCCGGGTCAGTAAGAACCAACTCGGCACCAAAAGCACGGAGAATGATTTTGCGTTCCAAGCTCATGGAAGTTGGCATGGTGATTATAAGCTTGTATCCTTTAGCTGCTGCCATGAATGCCAAGCCTATGCCGGTGTTACCACTTGTGGGCTCAATGAGAACAGTCTACAAACAGAGAAAATAACAAGTAAAAAAAAGGGGACAAAAGTAGCAAGATTTATGTCGTGAGAAAACAAAGACACATAAATCATACTCAAACACAATTTAGGTGAGTACGTGTCGTCTACCTCTCCGGGTGTGATAAGGCCTTTTGCTTCAGCATCTTTAATCATACTGTAACCAATCCTGCACCGGGGAAAATAAAAATAAGTAAAAATTGAAGTGATTACCAAGGGGCAGCTGACACAACACTAATGGAGTGTGCAAATCTTCTGTTTTGCAAAGAAGAGACTTCATTGTAGCAAAAGCGAAAAAATATGGTCAGGCAGTAGATAGTATTGTTTGCAAATAGAAGCTAAAAGTTGAACAAGCTAACACATGGCATTTGATGAATAAATTATGAAATGTTTTGTTGTGCATAAAAGTCAAGACAAGTGAGTAGTCTAAAATCTAAAGCACCCTAGCTCATGCTTTGAACAATTATGCACTCCTAAACAAAATTTATGATCTGAAAACCCCGTAAACAACTTTTTATCCTCAGTTATTAGCTACCAATCATTTTCTTTGGATTTCGAAGCACTTCCTAGTAATCAAAATGACGATCCTGACATTTCTCTTCTCCGTCGCCGGTCAAAAAAAAAAAATTAAATACCTATCCTTGACGCTAGAACACGGCTCCATCGATTCCAGCTTGGCCGCAACACGAGCCACACAACCATCAGTAACATTTTTCAAGTATACCAATGGAGTTTTACCAATCAACTGCCACATGAGACACAGTCATTTTAACCCCAAACATAAACATTAACAAGCAAGAAAAAGATTCAAAGAAAGACAGACAACAGCGATTTTCGGAAAACTTACTTCGGTGACATCCTTAGCAATCCCAATTTTTTCCTCAGCCATATCAGTCTAACAATAATCCTGCAACGAAAATGCCAGAAGTTCAGGCCAACCAACTCAAGATTTCATTCATATCAACTAAATTGATCGCAACAGAACACTTCATTCATTAAAAAAACACAGGAAACAGAAACATTCCGATGAAAAAGTTAACCCCAGCATCATCGGATTCGATTTTACAAACATTTTTACCAATCGAATTTCAAAAACGAAGCCCTCTTCAAGCACAAAACGATTCATCAATCCTCAACAAATCCAAATCCATTTTTCAGACCCAAATTTAAAATAATAAAATAAAATAAAATAAAATAAACAGAACTGTGGATGAAATAAAAAGAGGAGAAATTTTGAGAAGATGTTACCTTTATCTGCGTTTTTTCTGCTTGCAATTGAAATGGACAGACGTGAAGAACTCTTTAATCGGAGTTATATATAAGCGAAATTAACTCAATTATTGACTTTTATGCGGTCAACTGTTCATTACTAATCTTTATTTTATATAAACTCGTAGTAATATATTTCTAATTTCCGATGAATGAGACCCGAAATACGTCCCGGTATGAAAATTGTATTAAGTAGACAAATTATCCACGTAAAACCCACCTCCTATTAGGTTGGGTCGGATCGGGTCGGGTAGATTCGAAAATATCAGGTTATGTATCACACTTGGGTTTTTTCTCATACCGGCGTACGTGGTTGGGTCGGGTATATGTTTATAAGAATCTCGGTGCCCGACCCGATTACTCTCACGCTTAACAATTATAGATACAAATAGATGTATACCAAAATATATATGTTCCGAAAAATAATAATTTAGTAAATAAAATATTTTTAAAGTTTTTATAGATATTGAAGATGGAGTAAATAAATTCATATATGTTAGGACCTAACTTTCTGGTTACTTCCTCTATTTTTTTTAGTTTATACAATATACTAGTACAACGCCCGTATATTATACGGGTGCTTGCTAATTTTTTTATTTTAAAATCTAAAATTAATGAAAAAAAGTATTTGAAAATATAAATACCTTTATAAAAATATATATTATTATATATTTCGTATGACACTTTTTATTTGTGCAACTTACATGTGTTATATTTTAATAATTTTTTTAACTTGCAACATATAACTGCATTAAGCATAAATATATCAATTGAGAAATAATTTTATTTTTCTAATGAATTTTAATAAATATTATTATTTTTTATTATTATAAATATAAATATAGTTTATTTATTTCATATATACAATATGGATGTCAAATCGAAGATAATTAAAAGATGATTAATTTGATATATTATATATGTAAAACCAATACGAAATACAGAAGTTATCGACTTTTAAAATACATTTATAATTCAATAGCTAATTGAAGGAAACAAATCAAAAGTCAAGGATATATTAGTCACTTAGTGCCTGAGTATGTAAAATTACAAAGAAATAAAAGGTTATATTAGTACAAGTGATATTAAAATACCTAAGTTAGCTAAATAATATTTATGGAATGTCCAAACCTAAATTATTAATTATTAATATATATCAATATTATTTGTCCAAACCTAATTACGAAGCATGATTCTTTGCCAAGTAGGATTCCGAAGCACCAGAAGCAGCCACGTAGGCTCAACGCATTCTGGAATAATATATAGGGAGGATAAATGTTACGCCTTTATAAGTATGACGATCACATACATACATATTATCATTTTATAGTTTTTATATAAAAAGAATAGCTCTAATTACTAGAAATAACAAATATATAAGAAATAATAATAAATTAGATACATAAGTTTATGTGTGTACAGTGTGTTCTATATATTTTTATCTTTACAAATATTACAAATAATGAGTAATTAAATATTATCCATGTAAAATGCTATGTATAAATTATAGACGAGTCTGTCAAGAGTCTATAACCATAGAGTATGAGTTCTCTAAAATTATATTGAGTCATCATAACTTTATGTACTGACACGTGTCTAATGTGGATTTATTACAGGACGCGTGTCAATACATCATTTGTGAATAACTATGGA